GTATTGACTACTGCAGGGTTTGATCCCAATATTCTGCTAAGTGAACAGTGCTGCATCATATGCACTGTTCTCTCCTTAGGATGCCTTGGATGGAGAGCTGTGTGCTAGAGAACCAAGGACTGGGCTGGTCTCTGCCTCTCACAGCATCTCTGCCCTTCTTTAGAAGTGTTCCCTCCTCCTCTCCCTAGGCTCCCATCTCTGTGTACTTCTGTCCAGATGTTGAAAGGAGATTGTGTAACCTGGCACACAAGGAGTAAATGCCATTATTCTATTTATTCATTTTGGTCTCTTAAGACAAAGCTTCTCTGTGTAGCCTTGGCTGTCTTGGAACTGTCTCTGTAGACCAGGCTGGCCTTGAACTCACAGAGATCCGCCTGGTGTGGCCCACCACTGCCCATCTTCACGCCATTGTTCTATTGAGACCACCCGCTGGAGTTTCTGGTCAGTCTGTGAATGGAGTGAATGGGTTGGCTTGAGGTCTGATCCACTGCTCCCTCCTAGAGCGCTGGCTCTCTCACACTCCTACACACACTACTCTGAGAGCAGGAACACTTACCACTCAGTGGGAAACTTCACTTTTAGTCTATTCCAGGGTAGACAGGGCTCAGTGACTACTGTCAATGGGTACCTGAAGGACACCAGCAGACCCTGGGAACAAGGTCCTTCTTTTCAAATGGAATTTCAACAAACATCTAATTGCAAATTTCTTTTTGAAAAGTTTATTAGTCCAAGATAGTAGGTTCTATTTTTAAATTTATTTACTAAGTGTGTGTGTAGTCCATGTGTATGCAGGTACCCTTGGAGGCCAGAAGAGGGCACTGGATTCCCTTAAGCTGGAGTTATGGGCAGTTGTAGCCATTCTACATGAATGCTGGGAACTCAATTCTGGTCCTCTGGGAGAGCAGTAAGCACTTCTAACTGCTGAGTGCTATCTCCTGTCCTTGGACTGTTCTTTTTATCCAGAATGATATGAGCTAACACCACAGGGTAGCATTTACACTTGAAAGAGCTATGAACGGATCCCCAGTTTGTAGTAGATACAATTAAACCCCTCACCTGCAGACCAAAAAGTTTCCAAGTTCACGCAGTTCGGTCATTTAACAGCCCCAGCCCCAGCGTTTGCTGTGCTCGGGGGGCACTGCTCGGGGTCAGGCAGGCAATCCCAGCCCGGGCAGAGCCAGTCTCACTGTGGAAAGCGATGGTTATGAGACCGGGCAGCTAGCACAGCCTGAAGGAGTTCCGGAAAAACAAGGCAGCTGCACTCCTTATTGTTTGCTGTTTGGCTGGAGAATTTCCAGCCTTTTCATGTCTCTAGGGTCATATGTCATGTGCAGTTTTTCTGTTTATATTAACACAATGCATGTGAATTAATGTACCCAAACCCAACAAAGAAAGCTCTAGAAAGGGATCGTGACACCAGCATCCAAGTTTGTCCGGTAGAGCTGATGGAACACTGGGATGGTTGAGTTGGATCTTAGATTTCAGCCTCCAACACCCAAGGGTAACCAAGGGGTTCTGTTTTCAGCCCTGTTCCTTATCACTTACAGGAAATGCGACTTCTGGGAGGAGCATGTCCTCTTCTGAGTCCAGACAACATTTGGGCCTTTTGACCTTGCTTTATTTTTAAATTATTTGTGTGTGTGTTTGTGTGTGTATGTGTTTGTGTGTGTGTGTATACACATGACATTACATGCATATGGAAGCCAAAGGTCAACTCTGTACAGTCAGTTCTTTCCATCCACTTTTACATGATTGAACTTAGGTAGCCAGGCTTGCCTAAAAAACACACTACACACTGAGCCACCTCTTCAGTCAAGACACTTACTTTGTTGAAGTGACTCGGGGCAGAGGCATTCCAGAAAGGACAGTTTACCTGCTATGGGAGCTTGAGAAGGCTTAACTGAAAAATAAAAGTACTTGATGGAAAAGAAAACAAAACTGAACGTTCCTAATGTCAGTACTGTATTTGAAGGGGAATGGCAGTAACATCCATGGCCGTCATGATCTGAAGATCACAGGTCCTCGTAAGAGCAAACGCAGCTACAGAAAACCCCACAGAACTGCCCTTGTAAGGTCCAGGTTTATGAGAAGTGGTCGAGGTTTTATTGTTTTAAACACACAACCAATAGATTGACACTGCCATTCTTATCTTGGAGTGCAAAGTGCTTTTCTCTGGACTGTGATATGAGAAGTGCTTAGTGATACTCTAGGGGGCAAAGGGCCATCTGTTCCTGCCCCTCTAGGACACTACGGCTATTGCCATATCTTGCCAGCCCTGACATTTCAATTTATGTGACTCCAAATCCCATGTTCTTTCATTAAGCTATTTTTCATGTCTTCTCACAGTTGCCATACATAATTTAATGTATTTAACACGCTCCCTGCTAGTTCATTCCCTGTAATGTGGCCTCAGTTCTCCACACAGCTACAGATCTGCTCTAGCTCCAATGACGGTTCTGTTTCTAGTCCTTGACAACACCTTTAACCCTTTATCTGGTCACCTGAGTATCACTAGTCCTTGGCAACACCTTTAACCCTTTATCTGGTCACCTGACTATCACTAGTCCTTGGCAACACCTTTAACCCTTTATCTGGTCACCTGACTATCAGTAGTTGGTATGATAAGCATCTGCCAGTCATTGTATGCATGCTGGAATATGCTGGGAAGCAAATCAAGACAGTTTCTGTCATCCAGAGTTTAGAGCAGTGGTCCTCAATTTGTGGGTCATGACCCCTTTGGAGGTCGAATGACCCTTTCACAGAGATCGCTTAAGACCACTAGAAATACCAGATATTTATATTATGATTCATAACAGAAGCAAAATTACAGTTATGAAGTAGCACTGAAAATAATTTTACGGTTGGGGGTCACCACCACATGAGGAACTGTGTTAAAGGGTCGCAGCATTGGGAAGGGTGAGAACCACTGGTTGAGAGTCAGATGTCAGCAACCAATAGAACATAGTAGCTAATCAGAAGGAGGGCAGCTTACCCAAATAGGCACGATAAATGGGTTTCCCTCCCCTTCTCTGCCTTGGAGCTAGAACCCAGGTACTTATACATACCAGAGACACTCTTCCAGTGAACTAACTCTAGACAAAGAAGTCTCTTTTAGCCCTCTAAGAAGAGTAGCTTTGGGGCTGGAGAGATGGCTTAGAGTTTAAGATCATTGACTGCTCTTCCAGAGGTCCTGAGTTCAATTCCCAGCAACCACATGGTGGCTCACAACCATCTGTAATGAGATCTGGTGCCCTCTTCTGGCCTACAAACATACATGTAGGCAGAACATTGTATACATAATAAATAAATCTTTTTAAAAAAAGCTTTGAACAGATTTACAGTACCAGGTAAAAATCCCCTCTTGTGGAAGTGGGCCTCAAAACCAGAAAGTGGTAGTTACCTCCGTAATAGTTACACCACTATCGTACCTGAGGGCACGCCTTGCCTAGTAGGTTGGTACTGCAGTGTGCAGAATAATTCTCATTTAAAAATGTCCTTAGCTAATCATTTTTGTGTTCTAAAGGTCCCACTGAAAATTTCAGGACACACACTTTTGGAGAGCAACAGAAAACTTTTGAAATAGTCTAAGAAATGAAGACATGCACTAAGACAGCAGGAACCAGTTTAAGAGATATTTCTGAAATAAACGGGGAAGATGTTAACGATCATATAAATGAAGCTGGAGAGTTGGTTTACAGGTTGGTTACAGACAACCAAGTTTTGTGGTAGCCTGAGTGGGAGGGGGTATCGGAGACAGAAACACAAGTGGAAAAGGGTTTCGGATGCTGAGTATCTGGTAACATTCTGAGGCCATGGTCCCTATGGTTAAACAAGAACCAAATCTGTAATCACATAAGGACATGGTCTTCCTTTTTCAGCTGGCACAGCCCCTTGGCAAACACAAACTGAAACCCAGCTCCACTCATAACAATGGAATTGTCTGCAGGAACAAGGGTGGGCAAGTGCTTGCAGCTTGTTTGGACCCAGACTTCTGTCTTGAGCTACCGCTTCACTCTCCAGGAAAGGCCGGTGGTTTGTTGTCTGGCCTTTGGAAAGTTGTTACTCTAACTTAATATTCATATTCCTAGATGGGATCACGTGGTATTGTGAAGGGGCCCCAAAATAGCTTGACCACACAGTTTCTGTGACAGGCTTACTGGGAGGCAACACCCAGATCCAGGAAAAGCCAGAAGCTGATACCACCCAGAGATCTACCCAGGGGTGGGAAAGTACCTGACATCCCAACCATTCCAACCATTAGATAAGGTGGCCAGATGTCCTTGAGTCTAACACACACCTATTTTTTTTACAGTTACCCCTAGACAATTGTCAGCCAATCAGGGTCCTGGACCCTGGAAATCCCCTCACCCCAACCTCTGCTATGATAAAAACTCTGCCCCACCTGAGCTCAGGGCTGTGTGGGACAGGGGGACCAAGCTCTGGAGTTTGAAATAAAGGCTCTTTGCTTTTGCATGTGGGATTCGGTCCCCGTGCTGGTTTTTTGGGGGTCCCTGCGATCTGGGCATAACAGGATACTGAGTATTCTGTAAATTAACTGAGCTACTTCATGCGTGAGTTTATACGTGAAGGTCAATAACTATTGAAGAAGCTGACTTTGAACACTCTCGTACATTCAAAGAGTAAGCGGAAAGGATTTGGAAAGCATGTAAAGACCAGCATGCAATAAACCCTGCAGGGTTTCCAGGTGACCCTGGAGCCTGAGGAAGTTACCATCTTGCAGTTCTAGGCCGGTTTTCTTCCTAAGTTTTGTGACTTCTTACCCTCTGGTTCGTCTTGTGCCAGGATGCAACTCTTACTCTTTCTGCCTAGCGTCTCCCAGCCGCAAAAACTCCCCGGCTCAGTTTATCACGACTCCTCACCTGGACCAGGAAGTCCGATCGCCAAGGCAACCAGATCAACTTCCGGCCTGAAGACCGCTCCTGGTTGACGAGAGGCCTCATTTCCGGAACGTGATCCGCGCAGGCGCCCTGCCACCCGGAGGGCGGTCCCGGGGCGCCGTACCTGCATGGTGGGAAGGCTTGCTCCCGGGACACGCTTGCTCGGGCTGGTCCCGGCTGGCTCGTCTGCCCTGGGGACTCTGGGACTCGAGGGCGGGGCAGGACACCACCCTGCACGCCTGAGGCTCGGGTGCACGGAGCGCGGCAGGTAGAGAGCATCGTGGATCCGCCACGCTGGAGTTGGAGCTGGAGTTCCGTGCGGCCGGAGGGCAGCGGCTCCTCCCGGCAGGCCCGGGGGCAGAGAATGAGTCCGAAGCTGTGGCGTCCGGGCGGAAAGACCGTGCCCAGAACGTGCTGCGCTGGTTCACCACCGTGGTGCTGTGTGCCGCCTTCCTGGGGCTGGTGAGAGCTGAGGCTTGAAACCCTCTCTGGCCAAGGCTGGTGCAGACATCCTGCAGGGGACGTGGTCTCCCCGGTGCCCTGCGCTGTGGGTGACCCTTGGTGCATTGGTTAATTCCTTGGGTCTCAGTTTTGTCATCTGGAAAAAGTGGGCGTAACTAATCCTTGAGAGTTACTGTCAGACTGATTTAAATACGTTTTCCAACATGAGCAAACCAAGTTTCCTGGGGCAACGGGGAGATGTAGGAGGGGGGAGTCCGGGTCTTTACCTGCCCCCTTTTGCATCATCCACTCACTGAAGCGCCAAACTGATCACAGAAAATCTTTGAGAGATTGCCTCTTCCTGGAGGCCTGACCAAATCCTGCCAACCGCTTTATTTTGCAGATGGGAAAATAGGTCCTGAGAAGAGAGTGGCTTTTCTGGTTAAATGACAGCATCAAGGACATATTTCTTACCCTGTTCACAGCCCTGTTTAAATCAAGCCCTCAGATCCTTAAATGATTTTCTTCACTCAAGTGCAAGAACAGAAACACCTTTTAAAGACAGTGTCTCACTCTGTAGCTCAGGCTGCCTGGCCTGGAACTCGATATGTAGACTCAATTGGCCTCTAACAGATACTGGCCTGCCTCTAGCTCCCTTACACGTTGATGGTGATTGGTGATGATGATGATGATTTGAGACAGAGTCTCACTATGTAGCCGTGGCTACTCTGGAACTCTCTGTGTAGATCAGGATGGCCTCCAATTCAGAGATCCACCCACCTCTGCCTCCTGAGTGCTGGACTTGGAGCTCTGGACCACTGGCCTAGACTTGATAATTTTTGACTTGAGTGCTATCAGGGCTTAAACCTTTGAAGAGAGGCACTTGGCATCTTAAAGTCCGAGTCTCAGTTGTTTCTTAAGACTATTTTAATGGGGAAGTAGCGAAGGAAAAAAGCGCTGCAGATAATAGAGACCGTCCGTGTGTGCCAGGTCTTCCCGATGCTTTGAAGACCTTTGATGAGAGCCTGCACATGCTGCGGGCCAGTGTGTACCTGGTCTTCAGTCCTTGGTTGCTGCTGCTTGGGCAGGGAATCCCCTCTGTATAGCAAAATAGTGCAACACAACCATTTATTTATTTATTTACATACTGCATATTTACATATTTATTTACATATTTGCTGCATACTTACATACTTTTTATTTACAACTTGCTTTTGGGTCATGATACTTCATTGTAGCAATGGAAACCCTAACTAAGACACTGCCCCTTTTATGTGAATGATGGAGATCCAAACTTGGCCTGGCGTGTGTGTGTGTGTGTGTGTGTGTGTGTGTGTGTGTGTGTGTGTACAGCAGGCCCTTCAGTGGCTGAGCCGCCTCCTTAGCCTCTAGTTTGTTACATAGTAACTATTAATACATGGCGGTCTTTAAGGGTATTGTTCAGTACTAAACAGTTGAAACAGAAGAAAAAAAATCAAATAGTTTTGTAAGTTATGTGTGTTATAATACACTGGCCGTACCTACGTTTGGGAAACCGAGACAGGAAGATTATGAATTAGGGCCTCTAAAACAAAGCAGAAACTTTAAAAATATCAAGGGTTGTGAATGAAAACCCATTGGGGAGTGTGTATGTGTTTCCTTAGGTTTGACTTGATGTGGTCCGAAGTCCCTTATGGTGGTTTGTAATCTCCCACCTGTGCTCTTGTTACCATGGAAACGCTGTTTCTTGGGCAGTGTTCCGTGGTGAGTAAAGCTCTCTTCTTTTTCAATTGTAGGGACTGAGTGTTGCTATCCTGGGACCCACCTTTCCAGATTTGGCAAGGAATGTGAACCGAAACATCAGCAGTCTGTCTTTCATTTTCGTGGGCCGTGCCTCGGGATATCTGTGTGGCTCTATGATCGGAGGAGTTCTTTTTGGGTGTATAAATCATTTTTTACTTTTGGGTAAGTAAACACTACTTTTTATTTGTTTTCTGTCAACAAATTTGCAACTCAGCTTTAAACATGGAAAATTGATGATACCTGAGATGGGCAGTGTGCTGGCATCCACCCTGGCAGCTGACTCTGTGTTCCTCTTCCTGCTTTGGCAGCTGGAGAGAGTCTGTATTGATTCCCCCTGGAAACTTGATTGGCCCTTGGGAGTGAATGTTGGCAACTCTGAGCAATGCTGACCTTTCCTGTAATTTAGGCTCCACTCTAGGCTCATACATTGGTGGAGTGTGGTGATATTTTGTTTGTACTCTAGCAAATAAAATTGCCTGAAGATCAGAGGACAGACCTAGCCACTAGATTAAATATAGAGGCCAGGCAGTGGTGGCACACACCTTTAATCCTAGCACTTGGGAGGCAGAGATTCTTCTGGGTCTCTGTGAGTTCAAAGCCACCCTGGACTATATGAGATTGATTCAGTTTAAAAGAGAAACAGAACCAGGCAGTGGTGGCGCACACTTTTAATCCCAGCACTTGGGAGTCACACACCTTTAATCCCAACACTAGAAAGGTTGAGACAGGAAGTGATATGGCTGGGCAGAGAAAGGAATATAAGGCAGGAGGAGACAGGAGTTTGGGACCCTTTCAGCTGAGAACTCAGAGGCATTCAGTCTGAGGATTCATGGAGACAGGATCTCGCTCCCTTTCAGCCTGAGGATTCGGCAGTGGTGAGAGGTTTCTCTAGTGGCTTATTCCTTTGTCTCTCTGATCTTTCAGCATTTACCCCAATATCTGGTTCCGTTTTTTTATTATAAGATCAATTAGGATTCGTGCAACAGTTGATCATGAAGCTCTGCTTATCTGGGGGTAGGGCAGAGCTTCCGGGACCATGGGGGTCAGAATGAATCCTGGAACCTGGCCAGGCTCTGTGGACTTGGGGTTGAAGATAAAGGGACCCAGGACAGTAGTGAACTGACGTAGGCTGTACTTCAATCCTGCTGTCCATGTCAGAGTTGAGCACAGGCTGATCCTCTTGGATCCTGACCCTGGAGAACAGGGCAGAGCTGTTAGCATGCCTTTTTCAATAAACTGGCATGATTAAAGACAATTCGATTGATGCATTAAAACTCCTATGGAAGCAAGAATACTTTATTGCTGATGAGTGAATAAGTCTTTTTTTTTTTTTTACACTAAAGTAGAGCTGTTTTAGCTGACTTTTAAATGTTTCTTTTCAGGGGTGTCGCTTTCTGCTACCACCGTTGGTCTTTATCTTACTCCACTCTGCAGGACAGCAGTCTTACTGGTTGTCATGATGTCTGTCTTTGGTATTTCAATGGGCATTCTGGATACAGGTTAGTGGATCCTGTATTGTCGTCGGCACTATTGGGGACACTGCTGCTAGGAAAAGGAAAGCAGGTGAGATTATACTCTCATTTGGAAGTCAGATGGGGCCACAGCACCTAGTCAGAGTCACTCTCCTAGCAGCTACATCAGAACATCCACTTTTGAGCATGTGCCTATGAAATAAACAAAGTATGTTTCTCTGTGAGCAAGAGGTGATTTAGAATATCCTAACATGGAACAGTGAATGCCCTTTCCATGGGTAGGTGTGGTACAGATGAGCAGGCTTTCCTTTTAGGATAGCATCTGGTCATTTTACTCTAAGAAGCCACGGGAGAGGAGAGAGATGGCTCAGTGGTTAAGAGTACTGACTGATGTTCCAGAGAACCTGGGTTCAATTCCTAGGCTGTCCAGTGTCTGATCACGCCAGGGTTAAAAAAAAAAAAAGAAGAAGCCATGATGATTTGGGAGGTCAAAACAAGTATAGAGCTGCTGTATGGCTTCAGAGGAACAGATGAAGCTGAGTTCTGAGCTCAGCAAAGCCTGTGCTTCTTGTTTCCTATTTTTCTTTTCTGTCCTTTTCTGGAAAGTAACTGTTCGTCACCAGCAGACCCTCTTTGCAGAGTAAGGTGACATGTGCTTACCTCCAACTCCAGTACTCCATCTCTTTCTTTCTTGCTCTCGTGTTGTTGGATAGATTGTGGAAATACTTTATACATTAGGCTCTGTTTGGTTGTGAAACTACAGAGTGGTGTTGTTGGTTGTTTTTTCTCTTTGCAGGGGGACCCACCACCCAGCTCCCAAATAAAACACATGGAGGCTTATTCTTTTTTTTCTTTTTCTTTTTTCTTTTTTTGGAGCTGAGGATCGAACCCAGGGCCTTGCGCTTGCTAGGCAAGCGCTCTACCACTGAGCTAAATCCCCAACCCTTGGAGGCTTATTCTTAAGTATCAGTGTCCAGCCTTAGCTTGGCTTGTTTCTTGCCAGCTTTTCTTAACTTATATTATCCCATCTACCTTTTGCCTCTGGGCTTTTACCTTTCTCTTACTTCTGTAAATCTTTCACTCTTACTTCATGGCTGACTGTGTGGCTGTGTGGCTGTGTGGTTGTGTGGCTGTGTGGTTGTGTGGCTGTGTGGTTGGGTGGCCCCTAGCCACCTTGTTCTTGTTCTCTTGCTCTTTCTTCCTCACCTTCCAGATTTCTCCTTCTATATATTCTCCCTGCCTGCCAGCCCCGCCTGTCCTTTCTCCTGCCTTGCTATTGGCAGTTCAGCTCTTTATTAGACCATCAGGTGTTTTAGACAGGCAAAGTAACTCAGCTTCACAGAGTTAAACAAATGTAACATAAAATAATGCAACACATCTTTGCATCATTGAACAAATGTTCTAGAGCATAAACAAAAGTAATACACCTTAAAATAATATTCCATAACATTTCCCCTTTTTTGTCTAAATAAGAAAAGTTTTAACTTGAACATAATAAAACAATACACAACAAAAACAATTATCAAGTAAGAATTACATTTAAAATATTCAGTCCATTTGTAGTTAGCATATTCAGAGAAAATAATGCATTTTCTCTCCTATCTTAGTGAACCTAAAGTTTACATCTAACTCACTATATATCATAACTAAGAAAAACTGCAATTATAACTATCTAGTCTTCAAATCCATCAAAGACCCAGAAGGATGTAATATTATCTAACAACAGAGACATTTGTCTGCCTGGACAGTCACCCAAAGTTCCTCTGCAATGTTGGGCATCCATCTTCAGCCTACAAGCCCAGAATGTCTAGCAAACTTTTCAGTGAAGCTGGAAATTTGAAGGACTGTCCTGCCTTGTATTGACAAGGTTTGTAGTCACTTTCCTCTGTGTCCTGCAGAATATCTGGCAGACTCTTCTGTGATGCAGAATTTTGAAGGACTGTCTTGCCTTATTTTGGCAAAGTTCAAGCAGTCTTTTTCCTGTGTGTCATAAATGTCCAGTCTGTACAGCACATTGTCAGCAAAGGCAAGAGCAGTTTCTTTGCCCAGTGGTTAACCTTACCACAATGAAAGCAAACTCCATAAGGAGATTCTTCAATGTCCGTCATCTCTGAAGTAAATTGGTGCTGCTAGGAACAAATCTGTCTCATTGTCATGAAAAACTTACGTTAACAAAATATTTTAAATGCCATATTCTGTAGATCTTTGAAGTATTTGAAGACCATTTATCCATCTAAAATATGCCTCTATATGATCTGGAAAGCATACCTAACATATCTACAAATTTGATTGTTATAAATGACTAACTACTAACCTATGTTAAAATATCTTTAAATTTGTATCAATAGGCTATATTCTCCTAAATAACAAACATCCATAACTCAACAAATAACCAAAGACCACCCGCTCCATCTCTTGGAGTGTGGGTGTAGTATTCTCCAAACTACTTCCTATTGTCTGTGGATGAAGTATCTTTAGGGTCCCTGAGAAAATTTTGAGATAATGACCAAGTGTTGGGAAAACCAGCAGTAACCTTTGCTGATAGAGATCACTTGTCAAGTTTCAGGAGGTCTCATCTGATCAAATCTGATCCACATGAACCTGGAATGAATCCACAGCTTCTTGTTTCCTATGGAAACAAAAGCAAAACCTCTTGTCCAAAGCACTTTTTACTTCCATTTGAAAAAATACATTTTTTGACTTTTTTTTTTAAGGTAAATCATTCCTGAAGAATCTAGATTGGTTCAGTTCAGCAGTTCAGTTCACAATCCCATGTCTCTCAGCAGCTATCGTGTGCTTAATAACAATCAAAAAATTCAAAATCAAGTCAATAACATACAGGATCCAGACTCCCTGTGAGCCCATCTTATGTGGCTTTTTTCTTTCATATTACTTTTATTGTCTTTAAAGACTTTTTTTTTTTTAACTATTTCTTCCTTTCTGTGACTGTCTATACCCATTTTCTTTTCTTTCTTAAGTCTACGTACATTGTAAAACACAGTGGGACCTGTTTAGAGACTTTTTTCCGTCTTGAACTCTTTAGCTGTGTTTGACCACACAAGCAAACTTTGGACTGCTGTGCTACACCCTGGATCTTGTGCATGGCTCTCCTGGTGGGCTCCGCCCACTTCTCAGGTTGTGAAATCCAAATCTAAAGTTGGCAGCCCAGTTGGAGGTTGGTTTGGAATTCTGGTGCCCTGCACTGTGGCAGGCATTTTTTACTTAGGTTTTTTTTTTTTTTTTTTGGTTTCTACAAAGGTCTGCAGAGTTGACACAATACAGAAGGTATTTTTTTTTTTTTTTTTAGGTTTTTTTTTTTTTTTTTGGTTTCTATTTAGTGAGAAAAAAAGCTGTTTAAGTGCTATGCTGTGCAGCAGAGATTCTTAAAGGAGCTGTATCTTTTTTTTTTTTTTAAGCTTTCTCAGGCCCTAGGGATTTTGAGCCTCACATTGGTACACCAAATTGTTGTTGTTGGTTGTTTTTTCTCTTTTGGGGGGCCCACTACCCAGCTCCCAAATAAACACACATGGAGGCGTATTCTTAAGTATCAATGTCCAGCCTTAGCTTGGCTTGTTTCTTGCCAGCTTTTCTTAAATTATCCCATCTACCTTTTGCCTCTAGGCTTTTACCTTTCTCTTCTGTAAATCTTTCACTCTTCATGGCTGGCTGTGTGGTTGGGTGGCCCCTAGCATCTTCCTCTCCTTGTTCTCTTGCTCTTTCTCTTCTCCCAGATTTCTCCTTCTATTTATTCTCTGCCTGCCAGCCCCGCCTATCCTTTCTCCTGCCTTGCTATTGGTCGTTCAGCTCTTTATTAGACCCTTAGGAGTTTTACACAGGCACAGTAACACAGCTTCACTGAGTTAAACACATGCAACATAAAAGAATGCAACACATCTTTCCATCATTAAACAAATGTTCCAGAGCATAAACAAATGTAGCACATCTTAAAATAATATTCCACAACAGAGTGAAAATGTATGCTTATCTGAAAGTTAAACAGAGAGCCAAAGACTTGATGCTTCTGCCCATCACCTCGTAGGCTCTTCGGCACAACAGAGCAGAGTCTGACATCTGTGCTCAGCGCTGGGATGTACATCAGGGCCCTGGGTGCAGACTTCGAAGACAGTGGCTGCTAGGTACAAGAATAGACAGCTTTGGTGGTTTGGCTACTATCTGATGCTAAAATCATCCTCTCTCGTTAGTAGATAGGTGTGTTATATCGGTGTACCCCTGGTGTGGTACTAGCACATTTCATGGAGAGCCTTTGCTAATGTGCCTGGCCCTAGTGGGTAGCGGTTTACCAGCTCGTAGATTCTGCGTGTTAAGAAGAGATGCTGTGATGCAGTCTACTGGTGGCAGGGGTCAGAGCTCCTCAGACATAGCGTTGCCCTACCTCAGTCTTGGCATCACCACACTGGTTCCGGGTCGTCCCAGTGTGCCCCCCCAGACACACCTTTTTTAATAGTGATGTATGTAGTGTTCTTACTGAATAATCATTAATGATCATTAAATCATTTCTTTCCTTGGCAGGTGGGAACGTCCTCATCTTGGCCCTTTGGGGGGACAAAGGTGCTCCACACATGCAGGCCTTGCACTTCAGTTTCGCCTTGGGTGCCTTCCTGGCTCCCTTGCTGGCTAAACTGGCCTGGGGTATGACAGCACCCGCTCAGAACCACACAGAGTCTGGCTTTGTCTCTCTGATGCTGAACCGATCCTCTGGAGCCACCTCAGACTCTCTGTTTGCGGTGCCTGAGGACGTGAACCTGCTGTGGACCTACGCTTCCATCGGCACCTATGTCTTAGTAGTCTCTGTCTTCCTGTTTGGTCTGTTTTGTAAGAAACACTCAAAGCAGGAAAAATCCACAGCATCTGCTCAGGAAGCTCGAAGAGCTAAATATCACTGGGCCCTGCTCTGTCTCCTCTTCCTCTTCTTCTTCTTTTACGTCGGAGCCGAGGTGACCTACGGCTCTTATGTTTTCTCCTTCGCCACCACCCATGTTGGCATGGAAGAAAGTGAAGCAGCCGGCTTGAACTCCGTCTTCTGGGGGACCTTTGCAGCCTGCAGGGGCCTGGCCATCTTCTTTGCGACACTCTTACAGCCTGGAACCATGATCGTGTTGTGCAGTGTTGGCAGTCTTGTCTCATCTTTCTTTCTGGTCCTTTTTGACAAGAGCCCTCTGTGTCTCTGGATCGCAACGTCTGTGTACGGAGCCTCGATGGCAGCCACATTTCCCAGTGGCATTTCCTGGATCGAGCAGTACACCACCTTAACTGGGAAATCCACGGCATTCTTTGTAGTTGGTGCCGCCCTGGGAGAAATGGCGATTCCTGCAGTAATCGGAATTCTTCAGGGACACTACCCAGATCTGCCTGTTGTTCTGTACACGGGGCTGGGGTCAGCTGTCTTCACTGCGGTTTTGTTTCCTGTGATGTATAAATTAGCCACCTTACCTCTGGGTCACCAGCCAAAAGGAAGAAAGAGTGAGGACCAGAGAGCTTTGCTTTCCAGCTCCGAGCTCAATGACTGTGAAGAGGAGAATGAGGAGGAAGATGCAGAAAAATGGAACGAAATGGATTTTGAAGTGGTTGAAATGAGTGACCCAGTGCAGGGGTCTGGAAGGGACACCTCTAGAGAAGCCCCGACGGAGCCCACCCCTGAGGTCTCCGATCAGTTCCTCTCAAATGCATACTTTTCAGTCAATAGCAGCAACTCTCTCAGGAATCACCAGGACAAAAGGGACTGACCGTCAGGAGATGAACTACTGAATGACTTCATTGAGTCATCAGCCACTCCTGAAGGCACCACTCAGAGCAGGGCTCTGGCAGACTTTGAGCACGCTTTGGCAATTGGAATTTGTGGGTGTCTACAGCAAGCGTTGAAACTGAAGTGTTCTAGAATTCTCAGAGTCTTCTGTAAACTGCCGATTGTTCTTGTGCCGTGAGTTCTTGTTCTGAGACAGTTTTAGGGTCTCCACCTTTCGGAAGGCATCTTCATGTAAAGAGCTGGGTAGTGTGCTGGAAGTCCACACTGTCGACCAGTGGAGCTGCTTGGCTGAGCAAATGATCATATATCCGTCTTCGGCCGGGGGCTTGTGGAGTGTAGCCACGTGAAAGAGCCAGCTTTGGAAATGGAAAGATGTTTTTCTTAGTTTTCCCCTCTGTGTAGGGTTGTGCTGAAAAATACTGCCGACTGTTTTCTTCCTTTTGTGAGAACACAGGAGGCCACCATTTCTAGATCAATTTCTAGCTTCCTCCCTGACTTCATTTGGTCTCCTGTGATTCTAGAAATGCAAATGAGATTATTTCCAAATTGTAGGGTTTGGGTTTGTTTTGTTTCTTGAGTCTTACTTTATAGTCCAGGCTGGCCTGGAATTTATTAAGTAGCCCAGGTTGGCCTCTTGACTCAACATCGTGTGTCTGTCTCCTAAATTTTATGCTAGAGGTGTGTGCCACCATACGTGGTGGAACGTGTACGTTTTAAAGTTGTATAATCTTTTTGCCAAAACAGCCTGTGAACTTCCAATGTAAGGTAAAGCAGAAGTGATGGGTAGCCCCCCGAATGGGCTACAGCTCGTGGAGACCTGCAGTTTAGCGAGCGGCTGAGCCGCACCACTGCATTCATTCATCATCTACAACACGCCGCCACTGCATTCGTTCATCTACAACACGCCGCCATTGCATTCGTTCATATCTACAACACGCTGCCACTGTATCCGTTCATCTACAACACGCTGCCACTGCATTCATTCATATCTACAACACGCCGCCACTGCATTCGTTCATCTACAACACGCCCCTTTCCCTCCTTACACTCAAGGGGGGTCCTTCAGGTATTCTAGAAAATTCTAGTCTTGTTTCCACGCTGTATCCCAGTCACTCTATCATGTTTGTGTAGTGCAGCAGTTCACTGCATCTCAGAGATTATGGTATATTTTTGCGGACACTTTAAAAGAGATTGGTTATTTTTGTATACGAGTCTGTATCCTGTTCAGAGAGGATCTAGAGACATTCTGTTGATTGTATGTAATGGGTGTTTGCTCTTACCTTTTTTCTAGTGCTTGTGACTGAACACAGGGCCTTGCACTTGCTGAGCAAGTACTCGGCTACTGAACTAAGTTCCCAGTGTCTTATGTTTCATGTACAGAAGCTGCTTTAGAGTTACTCCGTCAGCAGTAACAGTGTGGCCGGGTCCTTTGCTGCCCATAGTCTGCCTCAGTGACAAGCTGGGTCTGGGCCTTGATGTTTTAGGACATGACTCTCACTGGGTTGGGGTATTAACCACATATGGACTGTAAGCCAGGCCAAAAGTATAGTTTACAAACGAGGCACCATCATTTTGGTGACTGGAGAACCCCCGTCCAGGACTACTCCTTGAGTTTGAAGTACTTGGAAACCAAAATAAGGAGGAGGAGGAGATAGTGTGATGGCCTAGGAAGTCAGGGATGAGGGATGCTACTTCACAGATGTGACAGAACCAGCCTGGGCCATCCTTTGCTAAACGACTTAGAACTCTTCTCAAGTTTTATGCTGAGTGACATTGAATGGCTACCGGGCTGCAATGCATTTGCCGTCTCTTGCCAGATTTTAAGAATTTGCTTTTTGTAAAAGAAAAAAAAAAGTGCTTTGTTTTTTTCTTAAGTGAAATGTGACACCTTCTTTAAAAAAATATTACATTTTTTTTTTTTTAATTCTGTGTGTGATTTTATGACATCTTGTAAGTGTAACAACATGGGTGCCTGGTGCTGGGAGAGTCCAGAAGAGGAGGGTGTCAGAGTCCTGGAACTAAAGTCACAGATATTGTCAGCTACCATGTGGGTGCTGGGAATAGAACCCTGCAGGTCCTCTGAAAGAGCAGCCCATGCTCTTAACTGCTGAGCCATCTTTCAGCCCCATGACACCTTTCTTGGCCACTGCCCACTGACCTCCCATATGCACACAGCCACGCTGGTTCAGGTTACTTAACACAGCATTGGGGGTGGGGGTGGGGGCGCGGTGGGGGTGGGGTAGGGGTGGGCGAGCAAGTGGCCGTCGACACCGTGGCTCCTTCTGTACTGTGCTGTTCTCCCTGGAGATCAGGAATGAGCTCTGCCCCTGCTTTACAGCATTGCCTTAAGTTAGGCATTAGTGGCAGCAGTTGGCACTGCAGGTCTTGTTAAACACATTCTGTCTTCAACATCTACTTTGGAGGGCAGAAGACGGCATCAGGAGAAGAGAGGCGTGGTGGTAAGAACTTGACATACAACTTGAACATCCACATTAGAAAATTCCCCAAACCGAAGTATAAATGGCCGCGTGAGAACATTGGCGTTGTCATAGTGTGGAATGTATTTTTGGAACGGAAGGAAACAACTGAGCTTAGGTAGAAAAAGTATTCGTAGGGAAGTATCTTCTGGAACACAGTAGACAATGGTCAAGTGTCCTCTTGCTGACAAATCAAGATCTCGCTGTTTGCAGCATAGATGCTTCGGCATGACTTGACTGTCGCATCCTGAGGGTCACTGTCAGGGAGGACTGTGCTCTTCACTGGAGCTTGGACATATCTTCAGGGACACCTGCTTGCTGGCAGTCTAACTGCTAACAGGCTCCTGTTTTCTGCCAGCTGTCAGCCTGTCATTTCTGTGGGTTTGTCGAAGTCTCCCCCAGCTCCCCTCCAGGCAACACTCTTTTAAGTTCCCCTTAAAACACGGCGGCCTGTTCAAAACGAGCAGGAGAATCCCCTTCCCAAGGCAGTGAATCTCTGCCAAACTGGGGTTGTGTGGCAAGATGTACTTACGGGAGCTGCATCCTACCAGGTTGGCCCTCTTTGGCTAGCTTGAAGTAAATCACAGGTTCTGCCGAAAGCCAGGCAAGAGGCTAGAACGGGCATGTGAACCCCGGGGGTCATTGTCGGGAGTGTCTGCCATATCCATGCTCCTGCAAGTCAAGCTTTTCAAAGGATTAAAATAGCTGAGGAAGAAGTCTCAGAGTATAGGTGCAGCTTTGTATTAGGGTTCTCTAGAGGAACAGACCTTAAAGAACGAATATATATATATATATATATATATATATATATATATATATATATACACGTATATATACATATATATACGTATATGTGTATATACATATATATGAATATATAACATAAGTATATATGTAGATATATGTGATATATAAATGACATATATGGATGATTTATTAGAATGGTGTACAGACTATGGTCCAGCTAGTCCAAGAATCCAGCAGCTGTCAATCCATGAGGTTGGAAGTCTCAGCTGGTCTTAGGAAATCCCAAAGAAGTAGCCTCTAATGCCATTGAAGGAGTGGACTTGTTGGAGAGAGTAAGAGCTAGCAGGCAGAGAGCCAGCTCCCTTCTTCCATGTCCTTTCTTTAGGCTGCTATCAGAAGGTGTGGTCCCGATTAAAGGTGGGTCTTCCCACCTGAAAAGATGTGGATTAAAGTTGTATCTTTCTACCTCCAAGGTCTCATCCAACTTCAAATTTTTTTTAATTAAAAAAATCCCTCAAGGGTGTGTCTAGTCCTTTGGGTTTTAATTCCAGATGTAGTCAGGTTGACAACCAAGAATAGCTATCACAAGCCCACCCCTTGTCAACTTGACACAATCATATCTCCTTATGTCATGCTTGCCAAATGAAAACAATAACCATGTCATAATTACAGCTAACTGGATGTAACTATCCCACATACAGTTGCAAACATGTATTTAACCAGGTCATAATTATGCCTAACACGATATAACTATTTGTTGCATAACTGCAGAATTTAGAATAAGTGGCACTGTTCCTTGAGGGACATTCTTTTATTATCTCAAACTTAAGTATGATAATCACTGATATCCTCTTAATTGATGTTATATTACATAATAGATCAAGGAAAAAACAATCTGTGTAGACACATTCTTAACAAAAGTATGACAGAAACAGGTCAATAATCTACACCTGGTCACATGGCCTTGGCAGGTATGTAGAACTATCTTCCTCTGCTACCCATTCTCTATTTCCTCCATCCTCTGCAAGCACCTCAGCAGGTCTTGGCTCTTTCCTGGAGTGACCCATACCTTCATTCCTGATGGGTCTGTGCCCTTGGTCATCCTGCCTGGATTTGGCTGTTGTAGCTTCCCATTTTGACTTTAATCACACGGCGAGGTAGCACCAAGAGACTCCCTAACGGATCTCCTGCACTCCAAACATAATCCTCCTTACATCCATGTGGAGAGGCAATCCAATATCCCCATGGTAATCTGGATCCATCACCCCTCCTAACACTGTTACTCCTTTCTTAGCCTGTTGGCTTAACAGCATCAGAAGTCCACAGTGCCCAGGGTGGGAAGTCTGAGCTTCCAGTTCAATGGAATGTTTGCCGTGGCTCCTGGCGGGAGGGCACCACACTTCTAGAACCAAAACTTCTAGGTCGGAACTTAAGGTTGCGGGAATAGGAAGCCAAAATTTTGCTAGTGGGTTACTAGGGGTGATAGTGAGTGCAAATATTCTCCTTGTCTCTTGATTCCTGGACCCATGGGTCCTGGCTATGGGAGAAACCTTATAAATTGGATGCTGATTCAAAGTATATACCACCCACAGGAAACCCCCAGTCAGCCCCCCAGGCTGCTTCAACCTCATTGGTGCTGTAACTGTGTCTTCAAAAGGCCATTCCATCTTTCAGGCCAGCTGCTTCAGGATGGTGGAGAACATGGTAAGACTCGTAGATTCCATGATTGTGGGTCTACTGTCGCACTTCTCCGTCTGTGAAGTGAGTTCCTTGGTCAGAAGCAATACTGTGTGGAATACTGTGACAGTGGATAAGGCATTCTGTAAGTCCACGGATGGTGGTTTGGGCAGAAGCATTATATGCATTAAAAGTGTCTTAGTTTGGGTTTCTATTGCTGTGAAGAGACACCATGACCAAGGCAACTCTTATAAAGGAAAACATTTAATTGGGGCTGGCTTACAGTTTCAGAGCTTTAGTCCATTATCATCTGTTGATGTTTTCCTGTCCTTCAGTTGCTCTCAAATAAACACACTGAGGCTTATATTAATTACAAATACTCGGCCAATAGCTCAGGCTTATTCTAACTAGGTCTTACAACTTAAATTAATCCATTTCTATTAATCTATATATTGCCACATGGCTCATGACTTTACCTGTCCTCCAGCATGTCTTGCTCCCTCTGTCTTTCCTGGTGACTCCTCTGACTCCACCCTTCTTCCTCCCAACATTCTCAGTTTGGCTGTCCCACCTATACTTCCTGCCTGGCTACAGCTCTTTATTAACCAATGAGAGTAATACATATTCACAGTGTACATAAGGATTATTCTACAGCAGTCATCATGGTGGGACACATGGTGGTGCGCAGGCAGATATGATGCTGGAGAAGAAACTGCAAGTTCTACATCTTGATCTGCAGGCAACAGGAAGTGAACTGTGTCCCATACTGGGTGTAGCTTCAGACCTCAAAGTCTACCCCCACAGTGGCACACCTCCTCCAACAAGGCCACACCTCCTCCAATAAGTCACAACTCCTACTCCAAGGTCACAATTCCTAATAGTGCCACTATCTATAGGCCAAGCATTCGAACACACAACTCTACAGGGGCCATACCTATTCAAACCACCACAAAAGACAAGTCCATAACCAGAATGAGTAAGGACAAAGCATTGTCCTTTCTATGGGGGAAATGGTCCAATATAAGGAAGCTGCCACCAGGTCACTGGTTGGTCACCTTGGGGAATGGTGCCATATCTGGAGCTCAGTGTTGGTCTCTGCTGTGGGCAGATCTAGTACTCAGCAGCAGCTATAGCCAGGTCAGCCTTGGTGAGTGGAAGTCTATGTTGTTGAGCCTGTGCAGAACCCTCATCTCTGCCACCAAGGCCACTTTGATCATGGGCCCATTGGGCAATGACAGGGATGGCTGGGGAAAGAGGCTGACTGTCCACAGAATGAGTTATCCTATCTACTTGATTGCTGAACTCCTCCTTAGCTGAAGTCACCTTTTGATGAGTATTTACATGGGACACAAGTACCTTCACATCCTTCATCCATTTGGAGATATCTATACATGTCTTCCCCAGATGCCTTCTTAACCAATTTTTCTATCCGTTCAGCTGGGTCATATAGTCCAAGTGGTAAGTACCCTGCACAGAAGCCTGGACCTCTTTAAGAGCCTTCTCCTGTTCCAGGGCCCACACAAATCTAACAAACAGCGCTCTGAGTCTCTTGGTATATGGTCTGGAGTAACACACCCAAGTGAGCCATGTGCTGTCTCCAGAATCCAAATTGGCTCAGGAAACATTGTGTGTCTTTCTTGGTGTAGGTGTCGGGTCCAAAGGAAACTCCATTTCCCCAAATTCTGGCAGTTAGACCAAAGCCAGCATCCCTCAGTTTACTTGTGAAGCTGGTCCCCCTCTATCAAAAGGAGCCATTCCCCTTATCACAATCAAAAGGAACAAATGGCTATTAGCACACTGAAGCACATGGCCGCCTCGAGGACCCCTCAGTATCCTAAGTATCTGGTACACATTTCAGAGTCAATCTTCAGCTCCTCTTACCCACTCCCCTCCCCTAAACTTCTCCAGCTCATGGGCTTCCTTCCATCTTCTCATTCTCCTCTAACTCTGCTATTTTGGCTATGCCCCCCTTTCTCTTTTGACTGTTTTCTTTGTCTTTATCCCCCCCCCCCAACTCCCAA